AAGTCTAGTGTCAACACAAAAGTCAAGACAACTGCCAATGGCATGGGATGCAGTCAGTGAACTTGGTATCTTTGACATCTGACCAAACTCTAAACATTCCTGCTTCAGCTGCCTTCACGAGGGTTGGAACAAATTGTTGTCATCCACCATTCCGCCAGAGCAGGTGTCCATGTGCTTGGTGAAGACATCTCCCTAACTCACTAACGGGTTTGAGTCCTGTCAGTTACCCTCAGACTGGTTTAGCCTATCTGCTAAGACAGTTTACAGGAGTGTGGCTGCTGTGCATGTTAAAGCTTTTTGGACCCACAGGTGAGGATGGGTAGAAGCTATGAAAAGGCAAATTTAAGATCGTGAGGAAAGGCTTTCCAAATATTAGAATGAACAAAAAGTGAAATGGGCTGCCCCATGAGGTGGTAGGTTACCCCCATTGAAGATTTTCAAGAAGATGCTGGATACTTTCTGAGTATGTTGTCAGGTACAGGGGTCAGGTATGGATTGGATCAGATGGCCACTGAGTTCCTTTCCAGCTTAAATTCTTGATATTACATTTTCATTATAATTTTTCTTGTAATAGACACTTCATTAATGCAATATCAATTCTTTCACTTGCTTCATTAAACTACTGATTCATAAATGCTTCTAGTTTAATAGAATACTGAAGTCTTTCTCACATGAACTACTTTAGAGGCACATATCCCCTTTTCTGTACTTAAGCAATTAATTTTTGACCCTAAGTGCTGGACTTTGCATGCTTGCTTCACAGCTTTTCCAACTTGTCATTTCTTTCATTGTTAAAGAGAAGATTCCTTTTCAGGTTTGAGTTGGACTAGATCAACACGGATGTCCCATCCAACCCTAAAATTTTGTGATTCACCTTAATTCTATGCTTTTTTATTGAATTTCTGCTATATACAAGGCATTGTCAGTCAGCTGGTCAATCAATAAGCATATATTAAATACTTAACTGTGTGCCAGGCCTTGTACTAAGCACAGGGGTACAAAGAAAGCCACATCTCTGTCTTAAAGTAGTAAGGAATTAAGGATGATACTGAGGTTTTGAGCCTGCTTGATTGGGAAGGATGGTGTTATGCTGGATAGGAATAGGAACATTTAGAAGAAGGAAAGGTTTTGGGTAAAATATAATGAGATCTGTTTTTGACGTGTTGATTTGAAAATATCTATGAGACATCCAGGCTGAGATATCTAAAAGAGAGTTGTTGAAGAATGAAACTCAGGAGAGAGGTTAGGGCTATATATATAGATCTGGAAATCATCTGCATAAAGATAGGTGATAATTGGAGCTGATGAGATCATTAAGTAAGATAATGTAGTATAAGAAGAGCCCAGCACAGGGCCTTGTCAGGATCATCACAGATTCCATTTTTGTCATTTAATTTCTTATCGAGTCATTTAACCCTGTTCACTTCAGTTGCCTCATCTGTAAAAATGAACTGAAGAAGGAAATGGCAAACTACTCCAATATCTTTGCCAAGAAAACCTCAAATAGGGTCATGAAGAGTTGGGACTGAAAAACGACTGAACAACAACACCAACAACAGCCTACCTTTGTGTTATCTTCAGTTTTGATAAGTGTACCCTCAACCAAGTCATTGATAAAACTTTTAATAGGACAGGCAAGCTCAACTACCAGGTTGTGGTCTTGGATTTTTAGACCCTTTGGCGATGCTTCTTCAAAAATCAGTTAGCCTGCAAGTACTTAAGTTGCACCCCGAAATACGTAGCAGTTTCGGACAGTTGTGCTAGTGAAGGTGTATGATAGTATAACTCTTAGAGGGGGTGTATAATAAATTGTAGTTTATGGGTGATCAAGGTTATGGTTTGGAAAGCATGTGGGAAAAGGTTGTCTTATGAACTTGGGTTAGCTTGAAAAAAACTTGGAGTAAAAGGATCAGGTTACGAGGTGAACTGGGAATATGTTGGAAAATGGGTGAGATTAACTGATAGAGAGTTTTGAAAGCAATTGTCAGAAACCCTAAGCATTCGATCATACAATCCTGTGACTGGGGTCACCTGAAAGATGGTGACATGATTGAAGCAGCAGGATTAGAGCAAATCCTGGGAAACCAGATGCTGAATCACCAATATGTTAATAAAGCCTTTGATTAGAAATCATTCTTTGGGGAGAAAAAAATTCCAGAAGGAAGAACAAAAGACTAGTACAGAATAATAATGCTTCCTTATATTTGTTTAGATTAGATGTAAGGGAGAAAGGAGAAGGTTGCACTTTGACCAGGTATATTTCATAAATCCTCACAAAATTTCTGACATTTATATTTTTCATACTTCACTTAAAAGGAACTTTATTGATATTTTTGTTTTTATATCATCTACATTTCTTAGTGTGCCCTCTACCTTTATCCTATCAGTGAGCCACCCCTAATGAAAAATAATATAGAAAAGAGAAAAAAACAGTTCAGCAAAAACAAAATATCAAAAAAGTTAGACATCTATTGTGTTGTGTGCCAATAGTACCTATCTTGGTAAAGAAGGAAGGGAGTTGCCTCTTTGTGGCTGAACTTGATCATTAGAGTTTCATAGCATTCAGGTTAAGCTATTTTGTTGTCAATGTGCTTTCCTTCCATTTACATAATTGTAGTCTATGCATACACATATACACAGACATATATATATATATATATATGCATATATACATATAAAAATAGTTTTAAATATATAACTTTTCTGGTTCTACTTACTTGTCTTTGAATCAGTTCACATAAATCTTACTATCTTCCTACCTATTTTTTCTTACATGTTAATAGCCTATTACATTCACATGCTACAGGTTCTTTAGTCATTCCCCAGTTGCTTGTTCTTGACTTTCAAGATGAATGGGAAATAGATTTGGAGCTATTTGTAGCAATTCATGTTCTAACTGCCATTTCTTCAGGACATGTCACTCCTTTTGTTCACTAGAATTGCCTCTGTCCTTAGGAGCATTCCTAATTTCCTTCCTTATAAAATGATTAGGCCACCACTAATATCCTTTGTAGGGTAAAACATTTTTTATTGCTCAGATACTCCAATGCCTGCCCATCTTGTGTGACTGTTGTCCATGCCCTTCCATAAGTTTACCATGGGGGCCCACCTATTGTCCTGGGAAAGGGAAAGAGGAAGGCAACAAGTATTTATTTATTTCTTTTCAAAAATTTAAATTAATTTATTTATTTTTAGTTTTCAACATTCACTTCTATAAGCTTTTGAAAATTTTCTCTGCCTCCCTCCCTCCCCCCCTCCCCAAGATGGTGTGCAATCTGATATAGGCTCTACATGTACATTCTTATTGTCATGTATTCTTACATATCACATTGTTGCTATTACCCCTCATTGTCAGGGCTATAGCTCAGTGAGTAGAAATTGGTATAAGTATCAAGGTTTAGCCACACTAAAGTGGGTCTCAGGGGCAGGATCCCAGCACATGTGTTTAATCTGCTTCCTTGCTTGCAAGCCATTTCCCTCATTTTGAAATTAAACTTCTGTTTGATTCCTGACTCTCCTGTCTCTAGCCTGCTTTGTTTGGTTCTGGCCATCCACAGGTTAGAGGCTGGTTAGAGGCTGGTTCTGTTCTGTTGACAGCCTTGTGCAGATACCAATGGAGTATGTGGGCTAACAGTTAAAGGATTATTTAAAATACCCAAATAGACACCCTGAAAACTTAAGAAGCTGTAACATAATACTGTTAATAACATTAAGTTTTTGGTATTGGAAGAAAAAATACCAGATTTGGAGTCAGAAAACCTGGTTTTTAAGTCCTGGATTTTTGTCATTTACTAGTTGTGACAACTTAGGCAAATTATTTAACCTCTCTTGGTCTGAATTAATATATCTTTAGAAGAAGAATAATATTTTCACTGTCTGCCCCACAGAGTTGTTTTGAGGTCCAAGTGAGATAGAGCAGGAGTTCTTAACCTAGGGTCTGTAAGCTTGTTTTTCAAAAAATATTTTAATAACTATTTCAATAAAAATGATTTCCTTTGCAAAGTAATATATTTTATTTTATGTGTTTAAAAACATTATTCTGAGAAAGGGGTCCATAGGGTTCACCAGACTACCAAAGAGATAGGGGATCTATCATCCCTATTTCAGATCTCAGAACCCTTTGATAATGAATATGTTATATGTTTTATAATTATGAAGTACTATATAAAAATGAGCTATTATTATTTAGCAGATCTGTGATTTTATTGATTAGGGAGCTCCTGATGAGATAATTCCCTCCACCAATACAGATCTCTACCTGTTTTGCAGTTTATAGCATTAGTTACCTGGGGCATTTAGAGGTCGACTTCCTTAAAGTTACACAGCTAATATGAAATACAAGCAGGACTGAAATCCTGCCTCAGCCTAGTTGTTGTTGTTGTTGTTGTTCTTCTTCTTCTTCCTTTTCCTCTTCTTTCTCTTCTTCTTCTTATTCCTCCTCCTCCTCTTCCTCTTCTTCTCCATATTTATTCATCACTTAGCAAGACTGAGGATTTTGTTGATGTGTCTTCTCCCTCCACCAATGCACACTGCAGCTTCCTGAAAAGCCTTAGGTAGACAGTTTGATGCATTCTGGTGGCCCCCAGATTTAAAATCTGGTAGCTATCCTTTTGTTGTTGAGTTTTTCTAAACATTATAGATTGATCCTTTTATGAAAAGCACATTGTCATATAAGTCCATTGCTGGGATTAAGCTCAAAAACTTTCTTGCTCAGTAGGAACTGCAAAAACTTATGCAACAATAACAGAACCTTCAAGAACTCAGAGTCACTTCCATACCCAAGAAGGCAGCAAGGTAATGAAAGAATTGTAATCATGGCAATAATAATTCTTTTGTCAAGAAAGCAATGATCTTCTTTTGCCTATTCACATGTAGCTGGCATTAGAAAAACAAAACAAAAAAAAAGAGAGTCAAATGGGAATATATTGGTGAAATTTTTATAAATGCCTTTCTTTTATCTAATTCAGCCTTTTGGGCTTAATGCAGGCCTTTTTTTCAAGTCCTCACACAGGAATTCAGTACTACCAGGATGGTGTGCCTCAGATCCCAACAGCCTGCATTACTGTGGAGGATGCAGAGATGATGGCAAGGATGGCTTCTCGGGGGACCAAAATTGTCATCCAGCTAAAGATGGAAGCAAAGAACTACCCAGATACAGAATCCTTCAATACTGTGGCTGAGATCACTGGGAGCAAGTATCCAGAACAGGTAAGTGTCTTGCCACAAAAAATATGGTTCATACAATTCAAAAGTGATGCTTCCAGTCAGTTGTCATTTTTTTAAATGGATTTGGAGGAAAGGGACAGTATAGTTTCACTGACTTTGATATAAGCAACATAAATTTGGCAGAATGCCTTGTCTGCATTATCTGATGGGAGCCTCACAACATCCCTGAGGATGCTGTACTATAGGCATCATTGTCCTCTTTTTACAAAAGAAGAAACTGAACGTTAGAGAGGGTAAGTGGCTTGTCCATGGTCCTGAACCTAGTGAATATCAGATTTGAACCCAGACATCAAGCCTGGCACTCTATCCACTTCCAAAGCCTTGTTTTAGACAGTAGACTCAAGTTCTTACTCATTCAAACCTCAAGGCAGATCTTATCAACAATGAACAGAACTTATCAGCTTGTTTCATCTCCTTTTATTTTCTGTGTCCCATGATGGTATTAATGTTAATGGAAATAACCAAGAAGCCAACTGCTTGAGGAGTGAGGCACACAGGACTTGAATATAATCTATAAATCAGAAAGTCAACCTAAATAAGTAAAAGATAACTATGTGGATGTATATGGGGCCTTTATTTTATGATGCTGAATTATGTTACTTTCCCAGAAAACCAGAGCCTGATAACTTAAAAGTTAATTATACAAGAAGCCACTTTTGAAGGGTTTTCACAAGGCACACATTCTTCATAAGCAGAGATGAAAATTGTTCTTTTGAAAATGATACTCAGAGTAATACTGCCAGACATTTGACAGGAGGTTACCAAAGGAAAAGGTGACTAGACAAAGAGGACATCTGTAAAGAACCAGATCTTCTGGTCTCCTTTCTGTACTGCTGTCAGTAATCCAAAGAAGATTGCTCATGGAATTCATGTTCCTTTCTCCCTTTTGTAAAGGTTTGCTCTCTGTTGCCAGTTAGGACAATGGAGAGAATGACATACCTTCTATTTGCTAGTGACAGATTCAAGATCAAACCCAGGTCCTTTGGCTCCAAATCCAGAGCTCTTTTTGCAGTTGACTCTTTGAACTCAAGTAGAGAACATGACAATTATCCCCATTTAATTTCCTCTTATTAGATTCTACTCCAAAGTATTGGCTGAAACAATCTTTTTTTTTTTTTATTTCAACTCTATAAGCCACCAGGTTAACTCTATCCTCCAACTTCTTGTCATCTTTGCATTCTATAAGCATACCATGACATTCATTCATTAAGTCATTTATTCATTATCTTTAACAAAGCTGAGGTTTCTTGGATATGTCAACTTTGTTCCCCCTTTATGTAGAAACAGAACATTTGGAGTTGAATGGGGAGAGGAGAGTGCAATAGCAATCAATAAAAGCTTATTAAGTGTATACTATTAACATTGTGAATACAGAGAAAAAGCAAAAACAGCCCCTGCCTTTAAGAAATGTATATCCTAGTGAAGGAGACAACATGTAGGAGTGTGGTTGTTGAGTAGTTTCAGTTGTGTTTGACTCTTTGTGTCCCCTTTTGGAGTTTTCTTGGCAAAGATACTGGAGTGGTTTGCTATTTCCTTCTCTAACTCATTTTACAGATGAGGAAAATGAGGCAAAAAGTTAAGTGACTTACCCAGGGTTACACAGCTATTGGGTATCTGAGGCTGGATTTGAACTTAGGTCTTCCTGACTCCAGGGCTGGTGCTCTATCCACTGTACCACCTAGCTGCCCCCAACATGTAGGATAAATGGATATATGTATATACACATACA